AACCCGCACCTCTCGCTTTCCGGGCAAGTGCGCTACCAGTTAGTGATTTGTTGACCAGCGCTTACTGAGAAACGCAAAAAATTTTGGAACGCTTCACGAATTTGCGTGTCATCCTTGCGCAGGGGCCATGCTAATCTTCTCTGTATTGTTCCAATTTTAGTATATGTTCAGGAATGAACGACTCCTGATTGCTGGCGCATCTTTTTATAGGCGCTCTCTGCTGAGTATCGTACATCTCGCGGGATACTGTAACTCGTACAGCGGACATGCAATTAGCTCACCCCTTTTCCATAAATGGCGATTTGAATGCTGAGAAATCAGAGAAGAATCTCAGTAGAGTTCATACTCAGCACGATGGCCGTTTTTATTTTTAAATTTCTATCTCAGTTTAGTTAAAAATGTATAAAATGTGTTGAGATAAAACCATTCATGGGCACATTGTTGTGAAGCCATTACGGGGAAAATATAAAAACTAGGGTGGCAATGACGATGGTGATGTGTAGTATAGTTTGCGGTAGGAAAGTGAAATACCGTACTGATGGAATCTACGGTAGGAAAAAGCTTTAATGGTGTTACATAGATGAGAAGTAAACCCTCTCATCTTATACTCAGTTAGAAAAAGGAGAGCTGTTATGATTCGGCGTGACATTGGTTGTAACTGGTCAGTCAATAATAAATCATAAATCAGAGAGGGTGTGAGGTCCGAAGGTTCCTCATAGAGGAAGACAGACTGTATTCGTGAAAGGGGGGAGGGGGTAGCAGCAATCGTCTTTGAGATTCACCACGGCTAACTACCGCTGCAGTAAAACGAGCATAGGTTGTTGTTTTGGACGTTGAAGGGCGACCGCAATTGTGCCGACAGTGGGGGGGAGAACGAAACAATTTTTATTGATTCGAGGGTTTTAAAAGAGGAAAGAAAAAATTTCAACAAAGTAATATAAAGTGTACACGGAATCACAGAATTTTTTGTTTGAAATTTTGCCGATCTCCAACACCCTCCCCCTCCCTTCAGCGGATTCATGTATCCTGCTACCACTATTCTAGGACACCATGTATGCGGGAGCTGCAGGAGGAACAATGGCTGTAGGGACCGCGACCCTTCAGGGTTAAGTGTGGATGGGTCGTAATGGCCGACTGCGTCCGAGAGGAGAGATTTATGAAAATTTTTACAATGAGGTGAGCGAAACTAGTGGCCCTGTTTCGCAGTGAACCCAAGACCTGAAGATGGGGTTAGAGGCTCTAAATTACCTTAACTACCATTGATCCTCATTGCAGCAGTCCAATCAGATGTCGAAACAATTTGAAAGGTTGGACATTGAAGCACGGGCGGTCAATTTTGTACAAGATAGCCCCTTCATTTCGAACGGGTTCAAAAAAGAAAATACCACGGACGACTATGCATGTAAATAGCAGGAGGTAATTTAAAGCGGTTGAAAAGGGGTGAACAGAGGCACAGTCTTTTACCAATCTTGAAACTTTTCGATCTACGCCAAGTGATCCCCAAGGGGTACAAATAAGTCAGGTCAACAATGCCTAATGAGTGGAGTGCCACTAACGACTGCTCGACTTCTTTCCATTAAGGTTTTTGAATTGATGGAATGTTCGCCTTCTTTTCTTATTCATTCAATCCCTTCTGCAAAATGCAGAGGTGTTGAGTACTGCTGTTTCTCGTGTGCTTTTCTGCTCGTTTAGAAATGACTGGAAATATGTACAGATCTTTGGCTTACAGCTAGGGGTATCACTACTCTCAGAAAGCCTCATTCAGCAGTGATTAAGTGAGATACATGACCTGCGGATCGGCCCTGCTTTTAGGACTTCTAGGAGATGGAGCACCTGGATATGGGCAGCAAATGATTAAGAAGAAAACTTATTTATAATTTGGCCTTCTCGCGATTGACTCCACAGTATACACATCATAAAATCCGCTTAAAGCGATAACATAACCATTTTTCGGTGGAACAAGTAGACGAAATTTTAAGGGGTCTACAGAAAAAAAACCAAACTCTAATTGACATTAAAATTCCTTGAAATTGAAAAGTGAGGTAAGACCATGTTGTAGGACAGTCGCTCTGATTTTTCGTCCCAGGACGAGCTGCTGTTCAGCTTTAGGGCTGTGTTTGATAAAAAAAACCCTTGCAGTGGATTTGCCCCACCCAACTCCGCGACCCGTTTCTGGCACAATTGCGACCACTTCAACCTCTACAACAACAGCTTACGCTCGTGTTACTGCAGGGTCAGCCCTGGCGAACCTCAAAGATTATCCCAGACCCCCCCCCCTTTCACGAATACGATCTGTGTGTCCCTTTGTGAGGCGCGTTTCGGACGCTCCTTTACTGAGTATCGTACATCTCGCGGGATACTGTACTCGTACAGCGCACATGCAATTAGCTCACCTTTTTCTCCATAATTGGCGGTTCAAATTCTGAGAAATTTGAGAAGAATTTTATTTACTATACGAATACTTAGAGTTCATATTCAGCACGATGGCCGTTTTCCTTGATAAATTCCTTGGCCGTTTTCCTTGGTAAATTTCTTGGCCGTTTTTCTTGGTAAATTTCTATCTCAATTTAGTTAAAAATGTCTAAAATGTGTTGATATAAAACCATTCGGGACACATTGTTCATGAAGCCATGTACGCGGAAACTATCAAAACTAGGGTGGCAATGACGATGGTGATGTGTAGTAAGTTTCGGGAGGAAAGTGATACGTACTGGTGGAACTAAGGTAGGAAAAAGCTGTAATGGTGTTACATAGATGAAAAGTAAACCATCTCATCTTGTACTCAATAAAAGGTGTGCGGTCCGAAAGGCTTCTCACAAAGGGACACCCAGGTCGTATTCTGAAAGGGGGGGGGGGAAGGTCTGGGATCATCTTTGAGGTTCGTCAGGGCTGACCACCCCAGCAGTCAGACGAGCGTAGGCCGTGGTTGTAGAAGTTGAAGTGGTCGCAATTGCCAGAAACGGGTCACGGAGTTGGATGGGTCAAATCGACCTCAAGAGTATTTTCATCAAGAAATGAAATCCTAATGCTGAGCAGCAGCTCGTTCCGGGACGAAAAATCAGAGCGACTGTCCTACAGTATAGTTTTACCTCACTTCTCAATTTCATAGGATCCCAATGTCAATCAGAATTCGTTTTTTTCTTCTGCTCAGCGGACTCCTCAGAATTTCCTCTACTTGTTCCACCGACAATTGCAATGTCAACGCTTTAAGCGAATTTTATGATGTATATAATGTGTAGTCAATCGCGAGAAGGCCGAAATTATAAATAAGTTTTCTTCTAAATCGTTTGCTGCCCATATCCAGGTGCTCCATCTCCTAGAAGTCCTAAAAGCAGGGCCGATCCGCAGGTCATGTATCTCACTTAAACACTGCTGAATGAGGCTTTCTGAGAGTAGTGATACCCCTAGCTGTAAGCCAAAGATCTGTACATATTTCCCAGTCATTTCTAACGAGCGAAAAGCACGAGAAACAGCAGTACTCAACACCACTGCATTTTGAGGAAGAGATCGAATGAATAAGAAAAGAAGGCGAACATTCCAACAATTCAAAAACCTTACTGGAAAGAAGTGGAGCAGATCGTCAGTGGCACTCCACTCATTAGGCATTGTTGACCTGACCACTAGTTGTACCCCTTGGGGATCACTTGGGGTAGATCGAAAAGTTTCAAGGTTGGTGAAAGACTGTGCCTCTGTTCACCCCTTTTCAACTGCTTTAAATTTGCCTTCTGCTATTTACATGCATAGCCGTCCGTGGTATTTTGTTTTTTGAACCTGTTTGAAATGAAGGGGCTATCTTGTATGAAATTAAGCCGTCCACATTTCAATGTCCAACTGATTTCATGAATTTGGCCGTAAAAAAGGACCTTTAATGTTTAATGTGCCACTTTTTTCATCAAACTGATTGGACTGTTACAATTATACCTTCAGCTGCAGTCAAAGGTAATCTAGCGCTCTAACCCCACCTTCTGGTCTTGCGTCCAATGCGACACAGGGCCAGTTGTTCCGCTCGCCTGATTTAAAAAATGTTATAAACGCCTCGTCTCGCGGTCGACCATACGACTCCTCTACACCAGGGTGAAAATCGTGTCGAGTACGTGGTCGCAGAAGTACGACCTCCCCCCATTTCTCATCTCCATCTCGACTGTGCTTGGAACATAGACTGCATCCTCATTTGTACAAATTTTAAGCGCCGTAATATCTAAATGACTTTGCTATAACTCATTCCTAAGGAATCAAACCCTCCAAAGACCAATTTATATGAATTTAAAAAATTCCAAAGTTCTAAAAATTTTAAAATGATTTTCATATGAGTTGAGATCACGGCAAGGCTTCTTTTCACACCCAAAATGCTGAAAAAAAAACGTTGTATAGACGTTATAAACGTTTCACTATGTTCTTACAATTTTTCGTCACCTGTTAAAGTAGTTTATTGGTTAAGGCCATGAGATGGAAAAGCGTGTACAGGCCTAAAATTAAGTAAATGCGCAGGCTAGGAATCTTGAAGTGAGACGTAAGTTCCATGTCCAGCAACTGTATGGATACGGCAAAAAATTGTCTTCTGTGCAATAAATCTCAAATTCAGTATAGAAATACTTCAGATCTTTGCAAGATCAAGAGAAGATCATTCTGGAGTAATTCGTTCTCTACAGAATATGTGAAAAAAATCCGGGCTAGTGTGTAGAACTTCGCACAACTGGATTTTAAAATCTCGCGTGCTGGCTGACGGCTGTACTGTAATTTTGTGCTCCCTATCTGGGATAAAATTACTTAAAAGTATTGAAGAACAACGGAATGCTTCCAAATCGGATTTATCCGCCTTCTTGATTTTTGAATATCCGACAATAACAAAAGAAGAGTTGGTAGTGAGTTTGTTGACCAGCGCTTGCTGAGAAACGCAAAAAATTTTGGAACGCTTCACGAATTTGCGTGTCATCCTTGCGCAGGGGCCATGCTAATCTTCTCTGTATTGTTCCAATTTTAGTATATGTTCAGGAATGAAC